ATGAGATTATGGATGAAGCAAAAGTATTTTTGCTATAACAACGAGTAAATCAATTGTATGAGATATGTTTGCCCTATTTCGTTTAAGGTGACAAAGTGGTTAACGTGTCCAGCTCATATGATGCACTGTCACGTTTCCACGCCCGCTAGGGGCGTTGGTAAGACCTAGGCGAGGTCGAAACTACAGTCCATCCTGGATGAGAACAACTTTTGGGAAAGCAAGGCAATGTGAAATTCAATTGAAACGTTATCTATGCTTATATCATTGTATGAAAATTATACTATCTGTCTTTCACCACCTTAAACGAAATATGGTGAATACATCTTATGTCGATGAAAGCTTAGTCTCTCTTCACCCGAAGCGAGGAATGATGTCTTGTTGGCTGCGTCAAACTGAACGTTGTATCAAAGTCAAACTGCTACAGAAGATTGGTATTCAGGGGTCGCGTTCCAGAGGAATGCCCTCTTAGCTTACCTTATCTCTTAGCCTAAAATTTATGCGAGATTTCGGTCTTCGCACGAAATAATTTACATAGTTTTCTTTATTTTTATCTATCCTTGTTTTCATCCCATTAGAGCAATATTTTCAAACTTGCATTTGTATCATCTTATCGCGCATCACTTTACTTCGTTTTTGGTAATATTTACATATATCACGCTACTATCTTTATTCTGTCTTTGTATCTAAAAATATCTACACGAAAAATTGTCTTTCTAAGTGATCAAATAGAGAATTAGGTATCAAGTTTTTGAATCTATGATTGCCATAGGCAATTTCATTATAAATAAGCTCTTAACTACGCAAAACATATACAACGAATAATAAATAATTATATTAATAAGTATAAGTTTAAACCAAATTTTGGGCGATATATAAAGAAAAAATAACACTGCTTAGATTTACTGTGACGTTGTCCACTAATAACTAATAAATAAGATAAAATCTATTTACAATAAAATTCCCTTAAAAGTTAAATCAGTCAAATGGAAACTCTATAATAGCAAAAGCATTTCATTATTGTTAGCACATGTTCATTAAAATAATCTATGGCTCTGGCGATCTTTTGATTAATCTCAGTTCACTTAAATTTGCGCTATGGTATCTAAATTGGGCACTGAAGCTTCATCTGTTGTCCTTGGAATTTTATTCATATTGCCAGGAATAGTAAAAACCGTTCGATTGAACACTGGCTTACATAAAGAAATGGTAATCCATATCATATTTTAGATATTTCAGATAAAAACATTCAAAAGCTTTACAGATGTATCGCCTCTCAAACACATCGGCCTTATCTCTAATCCAAGAGCGTACATGCAGGCTATGGGCGTTTTAGAGCTCATTTTGGGTACTACATTGATCGTAGGATCAAAAACTTATAGAAGAGTCGCTTGCTTAGGATTGATGACGCTCATGGCCCTAGCTTGTTACAGTCATTTTGCTCTTAGTGACTACAATGGAGTAGGTTCCTCTTTATTTTTACGGCAGATGATCGTTCCTTGTGGCTATTTTGGTCTCTTGATCTGGCTTTACGTTTCAATTGACAGGTTGAGAAGGAGGAAACATAAAGAAACCTGACTGTATTTATATCTTATTTTTGTTTTTGTTTTACTCTTCTTCTGTACACATCATATAAATATTTCAATGAAAATTTTCTTCTTGAATTATTCATTTTTCTGCAAGTAACGAGTTTTTTTTATTAGCAAGACACACGCGAAATTTCTCCTGAAACCTCTTTGCATGCAGAGATAAATCGTATGGTTAATTCTTACAATTAAAAGCTTAGCAGAGTATATAGACAAGTTTCTATGGCAAACACTCTTATCACACTCAATAAAATCTGGTTTTTCCGAAGCTGCAAAAGCGAGTAAGAGCACGCTTGGAAGGCTGTTTTATGTTAAATCTCTGGGTATATTTGAATTTAAAATTAGATAACATTTTGTTCATGGTTTTAACATTCCTATATTTTTTCAGGACACAAAATGACTATATAGCTCCTCATTCTTTGTTTTATGGATATAAACCT